TCATTCCGCTCAATTTCATTTCTCTCCAGCGACTAAGTCAGGAATCAGAATACACTAGACGGTTTGCAAGAACCCCGGAAGTTGTAGACTGCACACTGGCCAATCAGCGAAGAGCTGTGAAGCCATGACGTCAAACTCAAGCGTCTGTCTGGGTCACTTTTGTGGTACAGCACAACAGTAAACAAAACGGTCAAGATGGATGTAGACAAAGACAGACATTCTGTGTTGGCAACGATTCCCGAGGGTTTAAAGGGTTTAAAGCTGGAACAAAGAGAATACTTGGTGAATTTATCAGCGAGAAAGACGTTATTGCCCTTCTTCCTACGAGATTTGGTGCATTACATACATCACGACCAAACAGCAGCGATTGGTTAAATAAAAAAATTACCTGCCTACCGTCGAGTGAACAAATCCTAATACTGTGAGGTCAGACGGTTTCCACAAAGTTAAACCGGCTGATAAATCAGGCTATTCACAGATATGACCTGTACAGTAACTTGGCCCAGTGACATCAATCGATTGTTTCCATGGAGATAGCTATGTTTGATGTTATACTGTGGAACATTCCAGGCGCATCAATATAGTAACAACTCCATGGAAACAAGCAGGTGACAAACCCTCCACCACAAAAGTTATGCAGTGCACCATTAATGTTCCTTTTTTTCTCTCTGCTCTGGTATATTGGCCTGGACTGCACACGGGAGAATGACCCGACTCCCCTCACCTCCCCTCTCATTTGACTTGAATACTTCCACTGAAAAAAGTAGTCCTACTCACAGCGGTTTTCTTCTCCTGACAGCTCTAATTAAAAGTCAATGCATTAAGAGGTTTTCAATTAGAAGTCTGAAGTCTCAGTCAGAGCAGAGTGGACTCACGGGGCTGCAGAGAAAGGAACTAAAAAGGCCATTTCAAAAACACTTAACATTTCAGCCTGTACGCTTCTTAGAATATAATATGCAGAGTTATTGCATTTATTTCAAAGCGGTACAGTTTTATATTTCTCTAACATATGTTCTGTTACAGTATTATTGGAGTAATAGGCACATTTTACAGGATTTCAACTGTACACTCAATTACGGTGCATATTTCAATCTTTTTGTCAGTTTTTCTGCTCTTGTTTAAAATGTGAACCTTGAACAGAAACAAAGCATTGCAAATTTAATCACAATCGCAATGCTCATCAGAAATTCACAAATTGTTCAGTCCTACAATGGAAAAATATTAAAAAGCAAATAGCAATCAATTAATAAAAAAGTACAAAATAGAAATTAAAAACACAAACTTAAATCTAAACTGTCCCTTTAAGGAATGCTCTAATCTTGATGTCAGTCCGCTACATTTAAATGGACAGTTCGGAAATTTGGACATAGGGCCTCATTTCCTAGTGAGGCAGAGTGTTGGAGATGTGTGGAGACGCTTTTAAAAAAAAAAATTCCATCCAGTCCTTGTATTTGCAGAGGTCGCTGGTGCTAGGCTAGTGCATGTCAATGGCCATAGTTAGCCTGTCACTAAAAACAGTCTTACCCACTCCACAAAACACCCAAAGCAAATCTATTATTACTCAAGACAGTCGATGTGAATGTCTGTGTTGATAGAATAATTTTAGAAGTAAAACCAACCTTGCATTTGAAGGATTTATGTCTAAGCAGCAGCAGCAGCAGCAGCGATTTGTACTTCCTGATAGAAAGGTTGGCAGCGGTGGACTGATATATGAGAAAATAGTCCCTCAACATGCGACGATTCATGTGATGCAAGGTTAGTTTTATTTCAAACATTATTCTATCAACACAGACATTCACATGGACAGTCTGGCGTAATAATAGATTTACTTCAGGTGTTTTGTGGAGTGGGTAAGACTGTTTTTAGTGTCAGGCTAACTATGGCCATTGACATGCACTAGCCTAGCACCAGCGACCTCTGCACATACAAGGACTGGATGGAATATTTTAAAAAGTGTCTCCACACGTCTCCAACACTAGGAAATGCACTATGCACTATCTGCTCGTTTCCATGGAGATGTTAATACCTTGACTAATGTTCCACAGTATGGCATTAAACGAATATGTCTTGCAGTTGCATTCACTCAGTTACATATATTTTTATTGCCTTGTTTTCTTGCCTTCCCACAGATCTCACTTGTAACTTTACATCACTTATTGACCCAGTGGAAATAGATGCGTTTAATGCCATACTGTGGAATATTCCAGGTTAAGCAATAACATCCCCATGGCAACAAGCAAGTTTAACTTTACTTGTTACACAGTGTTCCTTTTAGATACAGTGTTTGGTGAAGGCTGCAAAAGATGATGAAATAAGATCCCTTTATTTTTCTTGAATTTTTTTTTTCTTTCTATTTAATTATAGTTGTGTTTTGTTTTTGTTTTATAATTTCTATAGATGACCTTGTTGACAAAGTGGGAAGCATTCTTGTTTTGCAGTGTGCATGTTGTTAGAGGTGTGAATGGAAAACAGCAAGCGGCTCAGAAGTAGCAGTAATAATATCAGTTACAACTATAGTAGTAGTAGTAGTATAGTGCTAGTAGGTTTGTGGTGGAGATGTTCATTTTGTGACTATAGCTTTTTTTTTTTTTGCGGACGTTTTGCTGTAAATCTTTATTATAATTAACACAACTTGATATTTTGTTTAAGCACAGTTTTCATCTGTTTGAAGTAGAGCTCCCAGATTAATCACAATCACATTGAATTTGCAATTTGAATGGAAGCAATCAATCACAAAGGCTACAGTTTATGAAGTACCATAATTTCCTTTGCAAACAACAAAATCTCCTGTCTTATTCTGCATAAAAACTGCTAACCCTGTACTTTAGATCTGTACAAACATGTCTGGAAATGTGATTCTTTGTGTTTAAAGGTCCTGTATTACATAAAATTGTCTCTTGTGACAATTGCTGTTGTTATCTCCTCAAAAATTTACCAGGAGTTGTGTTTTGTTTTATTCACACATGTTGAAATTCTTTGTTATTAGTCTATCTACATCTCCAAAGCTCAAAATGCTCTGTTCCACCTTGTGATGTCATTAATGTATTCATGTATTTGAGTCGTTTTTGTTGTGGATGCAGTGTTTGTCCATACTAATTCGATAGAAAATGGCTCCAGAGACAGACCGATCTGGTGCCTCCAGCTCCCACGAATTCATCTGAGTACAGATCTGATCCCGCACTGTGTGGATGCCTGAAAACGTTGATACTCTGATGTAGGAGTAAGAGTAGTTGCGTCTTTATTGGACCACGTCACTGATTAATTTGCTAGGTTCGTGAGATCAACAGTTTAAACAAACAAACTGGAAACAGCGGAGGTAGAACTACTTGCACAGAACAGACTCACCATCAGCAGAACACCCCTCTGTCACAGAAAGAACACATATATCCCACTGAGTCATGTCCTTTTTTAAGTCCGACAGAAACTGACCACCCACAAGGAGCAAGCTATTTGTGGAGCTTAGTTTATGCAAATTAGTCATGTGGTTTTAAGTTTAGTTTCTGTAAAACGTAAACACATATGCTCACAGCTGTGTGGATAGGGAAGACTTGTGAACACAGAAACGTGTCTGGATGCAAATAATTTCTGATACGGTGATACTGTGATTTGTTTCAGTGTAAACATAACCTCAGTTTTCAAGTTTACAACTAACTTTTACCTTTCGTACAGTTAAGATTGGCAATTCTAGGTGTAAAATCATCCAAATGATTCTAGGGAAGGTGTATGCAGTTTCAAAACACAGTGAAGCACTTCCTGTATTACCAGATTACATCACAAGGTGGAAGACCTCAGCCTAAATATGCAGGTTTGTGTGTTAAACATGTGTGAATGAGACAAAACACAACTCCAGGTCTGTTTGTGATGAGAAAACATGATTAAAACTCAGATCAGAAAATAGCGCAATATGAGTCCTTTAAAATGTGAACTTTAAACAGAATCCTCATATTAAAACAGAAATGACAAATCTATTTATTTTGTTTTATTTTTCCCTAATCGTGAGCCATAATTTGAAGCTACACTACAGATTTCAAGTGGCTTTCCCAGTTAATGGGAGAGAGATGAGCAGTTGTACAGCTCAGGTAGTGGTACAGAAATCTTAAATGTGTAAAAATGTTCCATGTATTTTAATCATAGGTGCGAGAGATTGGCATTATTCATCTTCACAGTCCATGTCCTGAACACAGAGCCGTCTCTTCCTAAAGACACCATCTGTGAGAAGAGACGCTTTGAGGACAGATTTCAAATCAAATGTTCGAAACCAGACAGCAGCTCATTCATGTAAAATGATCTGTATTAAGTAGTTCTAATTTTGATAAGTTACGCTGTTTACCTAGTGACATTGTTCATCATAGTATCATGTATCTTATTTTAAAACAGTGAAGAAGGGGGTTAAGAGTTTATCCACCAACCAGAGGGCAAATGGTTCAAAAGTGGATTGTTATGATGTCTCTGCAAGCTGTTTAACCCATATATCTGTTGAATTAAAAAGGTAAACTTGTCATATTCAGGTCTTTGGGGTTTATTAATGACACTTTCTGACGCTATTGTGGAAGGTAACTTTTTTATTTGTACTGGCAGAGAAGATGTTGAACTTTGTGCACGGCAAATTACACCATAAAATTCTGACCTGTCTGCTAAAGAAAATTAAAATACAGAAAGAGTTTCAAATGGATCAGGAGACTGTGATCAATACAAATGTTCACGGTCCGATTTAGATGTTTTGATTTTCAGCAAAAAGGTAGGAGTGACTAATTGAAAAAACGTGAACTAATGCAAAATCAGCTCATCTGTTGTACTTCCAGTCTGTTCTTCATGCGTATGTTTGTCTGAAAAACAGAGCTTCAGACAGAGCAGTGCCTCAAATTAGCATCACATCTCCACGGAATGTTGGTGACGTCAGCTGCAAAGTATCGATACGTGTGTGTGTGTGTGTGATATTCAAGTGAATTCATAACTAACTGAAGCTCATGTCTTGTCTCCCTCTCTCTGTCTCTCCACAGACAAAGACAAGCCCCTGGACTCCGACGAGGACTCCCTCGGTGTGGGTGGAGCAGGTGGTCCTGGAGGAGTGGGTGGGGGTCTGGGGTCTGGCTCTCTGCGCGCCTCCTCTCAGAGTGCCTTCCTGGGCCCCCTGCTGTGGGAGCGGACCCTGCCCTGTGATGGAGGCCTGTTCCAGCTGCAGTACATGGACCTGGAGGAGTTCCTGACGGAGAACGGGATGGGCATGCACAACAACGGCCCCAGCTCGGCCAGCGCCCAGATCCCCTCTCAGGTCTGACCCACTCAGTAATGCTGGACACACAGGGCTTATGGAATACAGTACATATATGTCTGAGTGTGGAGGTCAATCGTTCTAGAATACATGCCTTTACAAGGTTTTTTACTAGGACATGCACAAGTAAAGGCCATATAGTATGTTTTATATAGACAATGGTAAAAGGTAAATTATTATGATTATTAAATGGCTGCAAGCTATTATATCTGGTTCTCCCTGTGTCACTGACACCATAGTTTTCTTGAAGATGCTCCGGGCCCCCAGTAAACACACAATAGAGTCCCAGCTGGGGCTGGGATTCCTGTAAAATAGATTCTCAACTTACCTTGTAAAATAAAGGTCAAATAAAACTAAAATAACTATCCAAGACTGGCTTTGAAGCTGAGGGGAGTCTTCCCAGACTCCTTTCAACAACAAGAAAGCAACAAGAAAAGCATCAGATATAAATATGTCAAGCATATGTAAAAATAATGACTTTAAAGTAGCACTATGTAACCTTTCTAATGGAAGGTGCACCATGTTCATTTCTTTGAATGGAAGGCTTCGCAGTATGGCATTAAACCTGTCTATGTCTATAGAGACATGCAAGTGACCCACCAGGCCAAGTTACAGGGCAGCTCTGTGGAGAGGGGGCAGTGCTCACTGTAAGAATGTATGCATATCCTCCTCCAGCAGGAAAGTTACACAGAGCACCTTGATAACACATATTTGTTAGTACTATAAAATGATCAGTTCAGTGAGTAGTGATTATGTAAACAATTTCATTCACTGTTCTTTATGGAGATAATCTTAGAGAGATGTTATTTTGTTGAGGTAGAATCATGTAGAATGTACTCCTTGTGTTTAACTCATAAGTGCCTCTTCTTTTTCTCCTGTTGCAGAGTTCCCAGTCGGCCGTTCCCAGTCAGAGCTCACAGTGCCCCCCCTCCTCCCCTCCGCCCTGCTCCTCCTCTTCCTCCATGTCCTCCTCCTCTTCATCCTCCTCTCTTCTGGGACTGGAGACCGTTCAACCACAGCAGCAAAGCATGATGGGAGGGCCTGAGTGTCTACACGGTGAGTCCATACCTGCGCCTCTAGTACCGAGGAGTGTACACAGTGATACAATCCTTATAGTGTTGTATTATAAGGATATTGAGCTTACAGATATTCGTTGTAGTTGTACAGAGGAGAATCCTGTCTGATTATAATAATGGTCATATTTCCAGAGTAGCCAAAAGTACTGTGCCCAAGTACTAGTATACAGTTGAAAATCCCAAGTACACAAGTAAGAGTAAAAAGTATTTGGATAAACTTCTAAATAGTAAGAGACGCATCATCTGTCCTATAATTTGAAGTTAATTTAAGTTCTAAGCATGAATGCACAAAATCTGGTATTAGACTACAAAAATGAGAAAAACTAATTCATATCTGAATCAAATCAATCTTTACTCAAGTAAGAGTACTGTTCCCCTGTACAATATATTACTCAAGAGTAAAAGTATGCTTCTAGAAAAGTACTCTGAAAATTACAATTGTATTATCATGTAAATGTACTTGGGTAACTGTTACTGAGTGAGTTTTACCCACCACCCACAATGCAAGTTCAGTTTATTTATAGTGAGGTGCAAAGGATCATGGTCTATGTAGTTTCCTCTGCTTTCTTTTTACTCTTGATCTATATTGTCTAAAATAATCTATGCTTTTATTTAACAGAAATATAGAATATACAGTAGGTAGACTGTCCCAAAGACGCCCAACCAAGGGAATTTCTTCAGAATTTTAAAAGAAATAAAAATTGTGTAATATCTGAATAGCTTTTCGGGAGTGATTTCCAGCCTAACCCCGTTCTGTCACTATGATATACTCGAGTCCTTTATGATATTGTGAGAATTTTGAATAAGAGGTCGGCCTGGTTTTGCCTACAGTAACTGCTAACCTGATTTCACCCACGTGTACAGTACAGTACAGTACAGTACAGTACAGTAGTATTATGGTAGTGTTTCATACCATGAGTGTGTGGCGCACTTATGTAATAACCTAAGCCTATAGTGAGTACAGTGGCCTCTTCGCTGACTGCTGTGTAATCCCAGACTGTGACATGTGACTCTTGCATGATCACCGTAGTAACAAGTAATGGACTACTATTGACATGGACTGGTGTGTTTGATGTGTAGGCCTATCTCTCTTTTTAAAGTTTGTTTGTAGAATTGAGTTCAATTCAGGTGAGCACATCAGATTCCGAAAGTAAAACTCACTTTTTGGAACGTTGATCATCAGCTATGTGGTAACTGGTAACAAGGGCTGCACAAATCATCAACATAACGCAATAAATGAGTGTTTTTTAACGTAAAATGTAAAAAAAAGAGCAGATTTTATTCATGCTGTTCATTATTAAAGGTGCATTTTGTAACTTTTAAGGTGCAGTGAGTTGTTATTTCTTTTCCTAGGATGTTCGACAGTGGGGCATTAAACAGATCTCGTAGTATTTGTTCATTTACAGATGTTTTATAAGCAGTGTTGGGAAGGTTATTTTTAAAATGTATTCCCCTACAGATTACAGATTACATATCCCAAAATGTAGTTTGTAATGTAATCCATTAAATTACTTAAGGCGAGTAACGTAATCTGAATACTTTGGATTACTTGATAATGTCATGCTTTTTAAAACTACATGAATGTACCAACCATATTCTGCAAATTGTTTGTTTTCTTCAAATTGGCTGTTGAGTCCAAGTCTCCATGAACAGGCATTTGTTTGCTGTAGAGAAGCAAAGACTAGGAAATCTTAACATAAGATGTTTTGTCTGCTAAAAGACAATAAAAAGACCAGTCTTTACTTAACCATATTAAAAAAAATATTGATAGAGAAATGTTTTTTATATGAGATCACTGCTGCCTTAAATTATGTCCACCTACTGTTAGGTGTCATATTGTTTAGACCTGGTTTAATCCTGGTTTAGTCCTGGTTTTAGACCTGGTTTAGTCCTGTTTTGGTCCTGAGTTTAGTCCTTGTTTAGTCCTGGTTTACAGTAGTCCTCGTTTAGGCCTGGTTTAGTCCTGGTTTAGTCCTGGTTTAGTCTTGGTTTGGTCCTGGTTTTAGTCCTGGTTTAAGCCTGGTTTAGCCCAAAATGTGAAAAAAGGAAAATACTGCCATGTAATCCATTAATTTCAACAAAGTAACTGTAATCCAATTACCACTCATGGAAACAGTAACTGTACCTGAATACAGTTACTCATAATTTGTACTCTGATTACGTAATGCCGGCACATGTAATCTGTTACTCCCCAACACTGTTTATAAGATCAGAAACACCTTAAAAACATGAATTCTTACCAATTCTTATAGGCTTGCCTCTCCATAGATCTGACCATTAACCTGTCTCCACTGTGATTACTAAGTTTATTTCCATACTGTGATATAATAAAACAGTGATATCTCCATGGAGGCAAGCAGGTGAAGAACACACCACTAGAAAAGTTGCACAATACACTTTAAAGTGCAAATTTAGCTCATATTATCCAGTCCTACTCGTAACCATAAAGCAACTTTTGTATGTATTTAAAACCCCTGTAAAAGAATTGTAAAAGCAGCGTTTGAAGTCAAAATAAGTCAGTTGTATACTCAGACAGATATTCAGGAATCAGGAAGCGCACCTTAGCATGCTAGTTGGTGTCAGCAATACCACCAAAACAAGATATCTGGTCTCTGAAAGGTGTGAAAAGCGCTTATAAACTCATCGCTGTGAATAATTAAGATGCTCTGAATGCACGAGGTAAGCGAGGAATAACTTTGGACCACTGCAAACCGTTGTCACCAGTTACAGTGTTGGTTATATTCTGTTAAGCTTTGGGAAAAAGTTTCGGAAAAATCTATTGGAATAACGAGTAGGAATTTTACTTCCAGAGCCAGATACATCCTCCCACTGTTGCTCGTCTTTGCAGGCTTTTAAGTAGTCCATAAATGAATGTCAACATGGAACTTAAAGGGGGAATTCACCATGTTTTTCTGTTTAGTTTAGCAAAATTTGTCTTGCTCCAGATTTACGGCTTTTACGAGCAGCTCTTGAGGTAGAATGAGACCGCTGTGTAATGTCTGCATCTAATTCTACAGAGTTTTGTCGTCTGTGAATGAGGAAGTGCGCTGTGAACGTGGTAGTTGTTGATAGTGTGACATCAAAACTCCGCTCTAGTTTTTGAAAATTCTGAAACACTCTTATAAACTCATCGTGGTGAATAGTTAGGATGCTCAGAATACATAAGGTAAGTGAGGAATTAGAGACTTGGGATGCCGATACCGATTGTAGATACCGATGTTGATACTTTGTCTTTACGTATCAGCTGACACCCAGCACAGAGACTCAGAATATAATTATTTTCAACAGCATAAGATAAAAAATTAGTGTTTTGTAACTTGTAAAAATACAAGTTTAATTTGTTGAGGTGACAGTAGCTCAGTTGGAAAATCGTTTATCCATTGATCTGAAGTTTGGTGATTCAAATCCCGCTATTATCATACACATCGTTGGTAGAGCAGCCACATCCACAGGTTGGCTCCCACAGATGAACGCTATTGTTCTGTCCTTGGGCAAGACACTTAGCCCACCTCGCCCCCAGTGTCGGTGTACACTGGTGTGTGAATGGGTAAATGGTTACTTGATGTAAAGAGCTTGAAAGTGGAAAAGCGCTGTATAAAAATGTGACCATTTTCTATTTTCCATTTATGTTTTGAGCCATATTAGACTAGTTTATACAGTAGATATTGGCTGAACCGATATCTTGGAAGCTGATATCCGATCCACCGAATTTTTCAATATCAGCACTAGGAGTGTAACGATATCCAAGTCTCAGGATACGATATTTTCACGATATACATCTCACGGTACGATATTTATTGTGATATTTTGTGGAGGTTAAACAGCTAAAACTATTAATATGCTACTTTTTCCTCTTAAAATGCCTTGACAAGACTTAAAGTGCTTAGAATTGTTATTTCTTCTTGTCGTCTGCACTGAAATGGAGCAAAGGATCATGGTCTATGTAGTTACCTCTGTCTTTTTTGCTGCACCATAACTCTTCATTTAAGCAAAAAGACTTGTAATTCAGTATATTGTGATGGTCCACGATATTATTGTGAGAACTTTGAAATATCGCTGTATCGTATCGTCAGTTATTGTTTCATCCCTAATCAGCGCCAATATCTAATACCTGTATCGTATCGGTGCATCCTGATGAGGAATAACTTTGGACCTCTTCCAATTTGTTAAACTCGTTCTGTTTTTCAGAAGACAGGAAAAATAATGTCCAGGGCCTTTAAATCCTTTAAAGAAATTAGATAATATTACAAAAAGTTCTTCTGGTTGATTTGTATCCAACACTTAGAGACGGTTACAGGCTGAGGTGTGACGTATGTGAGACGTTTGTGAGTGGAACCATTATTGCTTTGTCTAGAATATTCCACAGTATAGATTAAACCTAAAGTATATATCATAAGAGAGACAAGCAGGTTACAGCACTACACTACATTACAGTTCAGATCTGTGGAGAGTCGTCCCTGTTCACAGAAGGATGAATGTATTTTTGCGCAACAGAAACACCCATAATGATTAAACTGCAGATGAATATGTTTAATGTCATACTACGGAACATTCCAGGTAATGCAGTAACATCTCCACAGAGACGAGGACGTGACACCGGAAAAGTTACGCAATGCACCTTTAACAGTTTGACAGTGAACAGAGGAGCAGAGGAACAGGACTAATTTAAAGTTCATAAATGGTGGACACATCTTTTTTCTTCCTCCTTTCGTCCTTCTCTTTTTCATTATTCATCGTTCCCTCTCTTCGTGTTCTGCTGTGAACAAGTGCTTTGCTCTGGGGCCACTTCGGATTATTCACAACGCCATTTTACCTTGTGACATTTAAATGAGTCATCAGATCGCGACTAAAGGATTTACTATTCATAATAAATGAGCATGTTAAAAAAATAATTACGATTTTTTTTTTTTTTTTATTTGATTTATTATTGCAATACACTTTTTAGGCAATGTAGCTTATGCCATGGTTCATTTTAAAATC